AAAAAAAAAAAAAAAAAAAAAAACAACCCAAACTCGTAACCTAAGATGTTGATGGCAGACTCATTACTAAGTCGGCTAAAACCCTAGACCTTTTTGTTAAAAGAAAAGTCACCATTAACCTTAGACCGGAGCTCTTGCCTTGTTTTGCATTTGCAGGAGCATATTCTATATTCTTCCCATTGCTCGATGGGTAAAACAAAATTTTCAAATTATATAGCCGACCAAAATAATTTGGAACTAAGGCATATTTGATTGATTCTTGTTCTTAACTTTAGTTTATCAACTGTAACATGTACTACTTAGGAGTTATTTCTATTTAGGACTTTTAGGGTGGTGAGTTTATTGAGGAATATTTAAAGCCAAGCGATTATTTGACACATTTCGCTGAGGGACAGGAATAATAGTCGTAGACCCTTTCCTTGCCCATACTCATTTCGTACCCCAAGAACTCATGGGTTAGCCGACACTTGTGCTTGCCTGTTCTAGCCTTTCCAATGGAATTGTCAAGGTGCAAGCGAGGTGGCTGGACACCACCAGTCAGAAAAGGAAAAGTTCTCAGGGATTTTTGTATCCTGCTGCTTACATTGCAGAGCGGTTTCTCACTGCTAGGCCATACTTTTATAACTTCCTCCTTTTTCTCCAGAATCTCGTTTTGGCAATCCATTCATGCAAGCTCGGTCCTAATTGCAACTCTAGGTCCTAATATTTTGTTTTTATTACTGCTCAGTGGTATGTTGTTGCTCTCCTGCGTCTGATGTCCATCTGTCTACTCTGATTGAGGAACTTGCAGGTCGGGGAAATTACGTTAACGTTCTGAGATGCATCAAAATCGAATACAGCAGTATATAGACAACTTGATGAGAAGCCAAAGGAGAAATAATTAAGCTTTTTCGACGACTCAGAAGGTGCTAATTATTTTCTATTGCAATAGCTGGGGACTATAACATATGCTATCCTGCTTGCTTTTCACTTTTATTTGTTTTATTAATAATACCTTTCCCACCGCCATCCCGCAACTGCAAATTTAAATAGTCTATTTATAAGTGAATGTGTGAGTCTTGAAGAGCTCTTCAAAGTGTTTCATAACTTTTGCCGTTATGGGTCGTATACCAAGTATTTTCCCAACTGCTTTTGAAACATCGTTAGGTGCATCTAGCTATACTAGAGCAGTAGAGCTCTGCAGCAGAAGATATTGATGATATGCAAATGTTCTCTTAACCCTATATGGACTTAAAAAGTAGAATCATCTTCAGAAAATCTTCTTTATCATATAAAATATGTTAAAAAATCTTAGAGATTAATTTACATCTCTGAATATTTACCAGTGCACTGCAAAGTTGTCCGTAGTACTCATACATTTATATATTACTTTTCTTGATTTAGGCAACTATAAAGATGGACGTGTGTGGATTATTTTACTTGCAGAACGTTGGTAAATATTCAATTCATGTGAATGTCAAAGAAGTTCTTCCTAAACAGCGCTAACCCTCAACTCTGGTTCCTTAATTGCGGTATAGTTCTAATTCTGCACAAGTATTTATTATTCTGGCTGGAAATATTTATTTGGTAATTCAATAATGCTGCCCCCCCCCCCTCCCCAC